AATGTAACAGAAATACAAGTAAAAATATATTTGTAATAGAAGACTTTAGTTAACCTCTTTTAATACATGACAGGTTAAGGTGATTAAAGAAAGATGTAGAATGCTTAAAAGACCATAATAAATGATGTACTTTAATAAATTTATATATATATTAGAGCTATCATAAAACCATCTTCTTTTCCTGGCCCATCATGGAACATTTACACAAACTAAAAAATATTAATTTCAACAAAATAATATAATGTTCTCTGAAGACGGTTCAATAAAATTACAAAATAATAATAAAAGTAAAAAAAATTTGAATGTACAATGGCAGTGTGATCGTTAAGGTTGTGAGTCCACTTGGCTGGGCCATGATTCTCAATAGTTTGGCAGTCATATGATGATGTGATCACCTCCATGATGAGATTTGATATAATGTGGTCATCTCCATGATGGGATCTGCGGTGAGTAGCCAGTCAGTTGAAAGGGAGTTTCCTCGGAGGTGTGGTCTGCATCCAGTATAGGTGGACTTTCTGGCAATGCTTGAGGGCTTTTGCTCACTCTGGATCCTACAGCTTGCTCCTGTTCGTCTGGTCTCCAGTTCTTGGGACTTGGGCTAGAAGCTTACCTGCCATCTTGCCTGCTGATCTCGGCTGGTTTTATCAGTTTTGTTTTTATTATTAGTTTTCCTGGTAACGCAGTTATGCTAGCTACCTAAAATAATTTTTGGAAATAAGTGTATACAATCGTAAGTACATTTGAATTATATGTTAAAAGATTGAACAATATGTGAATTCTATAGTTAAAACAATAATTGAAGTGTTTTAAGATTTTTTACTTCCTCAATTTCTCAAGTGTTTGAAATATTAGTAACCTATATTTTCTTTGAAAATCAGACCTCAGGTGCAGAGATTTGGATTAGTCAGAATCCTTGACACTGTCGTCATGAGTCCATGTATGGCCTTATTTTACTTTTTAGTAATATAGTGAATACCAGTGAGCCCATTGCGTTGGGTCAGCCTTTAGTAGTCAAGGCTAATGGTGCATTTTTCCCCAATAGTGGATGCGACAGAAGACTCAAAGAAGAATGAACCCATATTTAAAGTTGCCCCATCAAAATGGGAAGCTGTAGATGAATCGGAACTGGAAGCACAGGGTGAGTGTAAAAGTACAATAAATACTGAGCTTCAAAAAATTAAGTGCTTATAAATTAGTCACTGTGTTTTTTTTGTGTGTGTGTTTTCCTTTATGTTTTACACCATGTTGGAACCTTAAGACCCAGTGTTAGCGCATTTTGTGTCTGGTGGCTAAGCTTCATCGTGGTTGCCGTTATAATTTTCTTAGATCCTTCACTATGGAAGCTTACATGAGTGATCAGAGAAATCTCTAAAAATCTTTTAAGTTAAGCCATTTCAGTAGAAAATGTAGAGTAGAGGTGGTGCCTATTTGGAAATCTGCTTAGAGGTCAGTTTCAGAGAAGCCAAAGCTTTGACCTTCCTTGACCCTCTGATAATGCTCGACTTACTAGATGCAGTTTAGACCGACCTGCCTTTGGTAACTTCCTTCCTTGGACACATATCCTAGTGCTTATAATCTGTAATTCTTAATATTTATAGGTTCTAATTAAATAAATCTTACCACCTAGCACAGAAGTGAGGATGAAAATATTATTTGTCACTTCATACATTTGAATAAAATTATAGGTGTGAAGAAGTAGATTTATTTAGCACATAGAAATGGCTGTTAAAGAATAGATAAATGTAGATAAAAACTTCTGTAATATAAACTTTCAGCTCTGAAGCTGGGCCTCTACTGTGCTACTGCAAAATGCTAATTTACCTTATGGAATTACATCCTTTTTTTCCATCCATTCAGCTGTAACAACTTCTAAATGGGAGTTATTTGACCAGCATGAAGAATCAGAAGAAGAAGAAAATCAAAAGTAAGAATCTAAGTTTCGAATATACTCAGCTCCTTGTACATATACACTCTCATTTTCATTAAGAGGTATGGTTGAAATAATAGTGACAAGGAAAACTTCACTCTTAAGAAAACCTTGTAAGAGGATCATTTTTAGCCCCCATTGTTTTCCCAGTGAATAAAGAGCTCTTGGTTTCTGGTCTTGCTGTGTCTGGTTCCGCCTTGCTGTTGAGTTTCTCTTCTGTGCTCAGTTACGCGTTCTCACTCTGGTTGCTAGTTGATCGACTGCATGTTCTTCAGATCTTTGTCATCAGATAGTGTCTTGAGCTCTACAGAAAGTGATTTGTAAGGTATAACGAGGAAGATTTTCTTTTGGAGTGTACATTACTAAAAAAATACTGTATTATGACCATTCTGTTACGTTATTTAAATGCAAGAACTTCAGAAGAATTAAGAATGAATAAGAGAAAAAAATCTTTAAGGCATAGAGAAATTATAATTTTGATTTTTGCTCTTTGATAATTATCCCAAGATTGTTTTTGGATTTGGCACTGAATATGAGTTTAGGAGTTCCTTCTCCCAAATTTTCCTGCAACTTTGTATTGGTAGTTTTTAGGTAGTACTGACACTTTTAGAATCATTGCAAAGGAAGTTGATTTTTGAATAGGAAAAGAGATGGCATCAAGAACACAAAACAGAGGTTTCTGTTTAAAAAAAATATATGTATCTATGTTCTTTTATTCTCCAATGAAGAGTGAACAAAGGGAAAAGTCTAAGTTCATCCCAGTACAATTTAGATATTTGTTTGGATTCAGTAAGTGGGCATTAAAAAACCCATTGCCGTTGAGTCGATTCGGACTCATAGTGACCCTATAGGACAGAGTAGAACTGCCCCATAGGGTTTCCAAGGAGCATCTGGTGGATTCAAACTGCTGACCTTTTGGTTAGCAGCCGAGCTCTTAACTACTGCGCCACCAGGGCTCCAAGTGGGCATTAGTAGCATTTAAATTGTTAAGGAAATGTGGTCAATCAGTAGTTTGTGGAAACACTGTTCAATGGGATGAGGAAAACCTGGCAACAAACATATCTTTCCAGAAATGTTGGTGTGATTAGAACAAGTCAGCAATGATTATGACAAAAATATTTACAAAATATAGATGTGGCTTGCTAATGGAAATAGCTATCTGAGGCTGTTGAGGAGTACAGGAATTGGAAACAGTTCAGTTCAATTTGCTTTAAAGCAGTGGTTTTTTAAACCAGTTTTATGTCCATGAGCCTGTCATTAGTAACATCTCTCATCATTTTAGAGTCACTTCATTAAAAAGAGTATATGTACTGATAAAATAATGATTATTTAGTTTAGAGGGGAAGGAAGGGTAGAAAAACCTTTCACTTTTAAATTGCCATTGTAGAACTCAAAATGTTGTTCAGTTGATTTTCTGATTTTTTTTTGCATAAATTTCACATTCCTGTTAACGTTGAAATATCATTATGGATGGATTTGAGTGTTTGACATTGGGATAATCATACATTGATCCAGTGAGGCATGGATCCCTAGAAATATCATTTATATTATTTATTTTTCTTAGGAACTCCGAGGAAGTCCTACTAATATAAAAATGACTTTATAAAGACACGAAGGAAGGAATTTGAAATCAAACATGCAGCTAGATGATGGTGCCAAAAGGAGTTGGCTTGAATGGGAAAAGCATTTCCATTCTGATTTACTCCATGTAGTACAGTAATGATATTACCAGAAAAACAGTCATTATTGTATTCATGTAAATTAATACAAAAGTCTAGATCGTCATATAGTTTTGTTTTGAATAAAATTGCTGTATTTCTGAATTTGCTACTTATTTCAAAAGATCGAAAAGAAATAAAAGATAAAATTCTTTTTTCACCTAGAACTTTCTGATCCTTGAAATTTTCTTATGCCTCGCTACTACTCTCTAGTGGCTGGATTCAGAATACCGTTTTTTTTACTTAGAGCTGCTTGTTATAACTAGGAATTCTTGCCTTCGTGGCAGAAATGTGATTTCTTTAAAAAAAAAAAAAAAAGCACTACTAACAACTTTGGACAAAATGTCTAAAAAGTGATTTCATTTGTAATGAATTCTGTATGGATTTAGAGCCTTGAATTTCCATTTCTTTCAAAGAAGAGAAGGAGCAAGAGGAAGCTGTGTTGTGATCTGAACTCAGAGCTGGTAACTAAGAGTTAAAGCCAGAAGAGAGTGCTCAGGCCTTGAAAAATTATAATAGGATTATAAAATATATTTATTTTTAAATTATCAGAGTAGGGTAGCTCACTTAAAAAGTCTTAAAGAATACAGCCATCCAGATCCTTTCTATGCATATATAAGTATGCATGTGTATTTTAAACATTATGTTTATGTAATAATTTATGTAATATTGTACATACTATTCTGTGATCCACAGTTTTCACTCAATTGTCATAGGTATTGCTTCATGTCAGACCTTATATTTATCTGCTCTTTATTCATCTGTGGTTGAAAGCAGGTGTTCAGATAAACGCACAAGGATATTAACCAAGGAGTATTTGAAATTGCCAAAAACAAAAACATTGGAAATACTGTAAATAACAGGCTGGAATTAGTTATTTCCACTGTATAGAATACCACAATTTAATTAACAACTTCAGGTCCTTGTTCCAAAATAATTCTTCAGTAAATACCCGTTTACATACAAACATACACATGCACACACACACGCTTTAACCCTTTAAAAGCATTTAAAACACGTGAAAAATCTATGTACTGTAAAAGAAGGAATATTTGTGTTTAACTAAAAACTACATTTAGGAAATTTCTGACAAATGAGAAATAGTAATTAAAAGATTTATTTATTTCCCAAAAGTATATAGTTTTTGTTTTATAGTTGGTTTTGATGTTTTTCTTCCTTACCTAAGTGTTGTATTGAGTTGTAACTATATATGGTATAAATGATTATGAGGCTGTGTATATAAAGTTTGTAAAACATTTTAGTAATATCCTGGAAAGGACTTTCTGATGAGAAATTAAAATGCTAGTAGCATAGTTTTCTCTTAGTACCCAGCTTATTCTAAATTGCTAGCACTTTCCTTTTATCTGCCTAGCTTAAAATTTTCTCATTCAGAGTGTGTGTCTATTTACAAGAGTCTTTAAAATTGTTTTTTATTTGGAAAGAATTTGGTTATGTGGAACTGTTTTTATAGTATTATGAATAATCTTAATCTATACTAAAAGAGCTCCTACTTATGGTAGAATGTATTTAGTACCTGAGTAGTGACATCTAAGTGCTTACCAAATATTAAAGGGAAAAGGGCATATTTTATAGTCTTTGACAGTAATGTTAATATTACAGTCAATATTGTTGGTAAGGAATTTTGTTTATAAACATGTTTGTACTTACATGGATGTCTTGTTTTGCCCAGGTTTATTTGCTAATACCAGGCACACACAAAGCTCAGTTCTAGAACATATAACTTTTTTTTTTTTTTTTAAAGTCTTTTCATTCTTTGTGCTTCAGGAGCGTTTTGTTAATCCTGTTACAGCACCGATGTGCAGTTTGATAGGTAGTTGCCTCCCTGTCTGTTTCCATAAGAGTGCTTCTAGAAGGACAAGGGAATATTTTTCGTCTCCTATCCCAAGTAACTGACACATGGCAGCCACTCCGTTTTTCAATTGTGTTTTGTCTGACTTAGAACCAATATAGATTTCCAAGTCAAACATGAGTATTGGTGGTAATATTTAAAATTTATACCTTGCTTTATTTCTAGGCTTATGTGCTAATCAGATAAGGACTTATGAGGCATTGATTGTTTCATTGTAATCTATGTGATTCAAAATTAAGTCTTTTCTAGCTGATAGGCTCCGCTGAAGGAGTGGTAAACATTTGGCTTTTTAAGCATTAAGCTTCATGAAATCATTCTGAACTGTGAAGTATGCAGAAATCATTGGATTTGTGATTATGCATTTCATTTAACTGCTGCAAGGGAAATTTAGAATGAAAGGCACACAGATAACATTGGCAGAAAGCAGTGGTTATAGTGAAGCACAAACTTCCTGGAGGAAATGGATTTTTACAAAGTTGTTTATAAAGTAAGATTTGATCAGATACCTTACAAAAGAAGTTAGTGATTATCTTCTTATGTTTCTAAGGCAGTGAAAAAATACTCAGAATATAAGATGTTAACACTTCTTTTTGCTGCCTTGACATAAAATGTATTGTGTTTATTCCCAAAGTCAAGAAGAGGAAAGTGAAGATGAAGATGATACTCAAAGTTCCAAATCTGAAGAACATCATTTGTACTCTAATCCAATTAAAGAAGAAATGACCGAGTCTAAGTTCTCTAAGTACTCTGAAATGAGTGAGGAGAAACGAGCTAAGCTTCGTGAAATTGAGGTTAGTGTTACAGTGAAGTTTAGACTGCTCTCCTGGCCTTTCACTTCCTCCACCAAGTTAGGCTCCTTCTTTGCTTCACACCCTTGTACATACTGTTCCCTCCCTTGGCCTGTTGTCATTAGTTGCTGTTAGTCTTTTCCAACTCACACTGATCCGCTGTGTGCAGAGTAGAACTGCTCCGTAGAGTTTTCAAGACTATAACCTTTCAATAGCAGATTGCCAGCCAGGCCTGTCTTCTGAGGCTCCTCTGGGTGGGTTCCAACAACATATTAGTATGTATAATATATATATATATATATAAAAACCCAAACCAAACCCATTGCAGTCGAGTCGATCTCAACTCATAGCAACCCTATAGGACAGAGTAGAACTGCCCCATAGGATTTCCAAGGAGCAGCTGGTGGATTCGAACTGCTGACTTTTTGGTTAGCAGCCAACTTCTTACCCACTGTGCCACCAGGGCTCCAATATATGTATATGTGTATTTTATATATATATATTTTAAGCTATTTTCTTCTCCAAATGTGTCCTCTTAAAGGTGTCTATACCTGAACATTTTTTAGCATGGGATTAATGAAAACCAAAGGATTCGTGTTATACAATGTTGACATTCTCCACGAAGCAGTTAGAAAACATGTAGCTATATGATATTGCAGTATTGACCAGAAGCCAGTTCTTAATTTTTCAGATACCACTTAGAGCAGTAACTAACCTTCTCTTTTTCTAGTCTGCTTTTATTCTCACTTCTTCCAACAGGGTTTGGAGGAGTGGAACAGTAGGCGGGGAGCCAGGTGGAGTGTCTTCTGTGTTGTTTGGCAAGAAAAATCCCTTTCTGCCCTGTTCCTGAGGAAAGAGTAGATAGTTGATTGGGAAGATGATACCTGTTTGTCCCAGAGCACCAGGGGGATGGGTGGCTAAGAAGCCATTGTAAGGACTGCTTCCTCTTGAGTTGGGACCTGTCATCACCCGTTTACTGAGTGCCCTGAACTTGTTCTTGAACCTGTTTGGCCATATCAGCAGGAACTATACCTAGGAATTTTATAATGATTTTTAAAAATGCTACCTAGGAATGCATCCTTTCCTCAAGTAACTTTCAGATCTGTTGTTTGACTCTTGGACACTTAATGCTTAAGCTGATTTTCTACAAATATGTTCTATAGAAGAGAGTCAGCTTGGTTATGGGAGGCTCCACACAGTGGTGAACGCAGACATTTAAATGTTTTTTCCCTCTTCCCTCCCTCAATCTTATATCTTACTATCTTTTTAAATGTAATCATCATTAAAACAAGAAGAGTCTCTAAGCAAAAAGGCAAAGACTGAGTTTTGAAAGAAGAGAATGAGAAAACCTCAAAGCTCTGATTGTAGCAGACTGCTGTAGAGAGAAACCTTTAGACTGCGGCTCTGTGTTTGGTCTTACATGGGCTGTGTTCAGAATGCTGTTTTTTTTTTTAAAGCTGTTTATCTTTTTGCCTTCTGCTGGCTGTTATATCTAGCTGGCAGTATGCTTGCCTTTAGCAGTCTGGCCTTTCTAATTTGGAGAACCAGATACCAACTGATTGTCATTGTGTTGAGAGAATGAGTAGGTTCTTAAGGGCCTGAGCCAGTTCATGGTTTTTGAGACACCTTAGGTAGCTGTGCGGAGCATGTGTGGGCCCACGCCTGATCACTTGAGTTCTGCATAGCTGGGCTTGTCTGACAAGTGGTCTTCAGATAAGGGAGTTTTATGCTGAGGTTACATTTTTACTGAGTTCTTATCCGTTACTTCTTTGTATTTATGTTCTTCCTTTGTACACACTTGTTTCAAAGAAAAAGTTTTTAAAAAGGAAGCAAAGTAGTGCTTAACTTGATTTTCTTTGGAAGTTATAGTGATGACAATACTTATTTTAAAATACCTTATTTTACAGCTCAAAGTTATGAAGTTTCAGGATGAGTTGGAATCTGGAAAAAGACCTAAAAAACCAGGCCAAAGCTTTCAGGAGCAAGTAGAACACTACAGAGATAAACTTCTTCAACGAGTAAGGAATAAGTATACTCAGTAATACATATTTTCCAAAATTATTTGCTTGACTACCTAGAATATTGATATTTTTCCTCCAGGAAAAATAAATTTCAAATGATACTCTTGATGTGTAAATGCAGAGTATTGGTATATAAGTAGGAGCATTTGAAATTTGATGTTTTGAAAATATTTTAGTTTGGGAAAAGGGTCTTAGGATAGCAGCATACTATTTTATTCTCAACCCTACCTGTGGACTAGAAGAGTAATCCTGCTAAGCGCATGTTTTCAGAAGTGGACGACGTACAGGAGCATCACGTTGGTGACACTGAGACACCAACAGCCCTGAGAAGTGGCACAGAGACAGAGATGGACTTGGGGTTTGGCAAGTTCATTTGGGGCTCCTTTCCCATTGTTGCCAAGGAGGGACAGCAAGTGGTAGAATACCTCTTTGGTGAATTTTAACTTCTGAAGGACCTCATATTATTCTTGTACATATAAAAATATGCAGGAATATGCAGATAATTTTAGAATCAGGAGCCCCACATGATAATTGTTGAAGGGACTCAGGAATTTTGTTGGTACTACTTTGAACTTTACCTCTATAATGACTGTCATTGCGAAGGAAATAGATTCTATAGGAAGAGAAGAGAAATAGGAAAAAAGCTAGATGAGAGCTTGCAGTCACTAAGGAGTTGTTAATGGTGGAGAGCTGGTGATGGGGAACAGTAGGATGATGAAGTGATTTGGGTGCTGCACAGACCTATGGAAACTGATACCACTCTGCAGTGCATCCCTGGGCAAGTCACTGACGCCTGCTGTTTCTCGGATCAAGCAGGGTGATGTGCCCGAGTTTGCCGGCTTGCGAGTTAGATAGTAGCTACTGTTATTACTGTTGTTCTTTATCATTAAAGTGTTTAAAATATTTTAAGCATTTTAACTGTAGTACACTTCCTATGTGGAGCCCTGGTGGCGCTAGTGGTTAAGCGTTCGGCTGCAAACCAAAAGGTCAACAGAATTATCAGTTGGGAAAGTACATCCTACAAATCATCAGAGGAAGTTCGTCTCCTCGGTATCAGCTTTTAAGTGTGTATTCTGTATGTTGTATTTGGAAAAAGGATAAATGAGATTTTTTTTTTAAAGTTGCTATTTGTCTGTACAACATGGGGCCCTTTGGACGTGGTGGCAGGTTTCAGATCTGCATGGAAGCCTGTACCTTGAGACATTCACTGATCCTGGTGGTAGTAAGCTCAAAATGAGTAATACATATATTACCTTTAGTCTCCTTGCTTTCGACGATTGTAATTGGATAGAAAGATGTATTTTTTGAAAGTATATGCCAGGGGTCAGCAGGCTATTGTCAGTGCCTGATTTTTGTAAATAAAGTTTTATTGAAACACAGCCATGCCCATTCCATTCATTTATGTATTGTCTGTGGCAGCTTTTGTGTTACAGTGGCAGAGTTGAGTAGTTGTGACAGAGACTCTTGTGGTCTGCAAAGCAGAAAGTATTTACCACCTGGACCTTTACAGAAAAACTTTGCCGACCTCTGGTATAGGCTTTTCCCCCTTTTTAAAAATGAGAAGAGTCAGCTATCAGATAGCTTTCTTGATACGTATAGATCATAATAAAACAGTTGCCTTTGAGTTGATTGTAACACGTGTGTCAGAGTAGAAGTGAATAGGCTTTTCAGTGACTAATTTTTTGGAAGTAGGTCGCCAAGCCTTTCTTCCATGGTACCTCTGGGTGAACTTGAGCCTCTAACATCTCAGCAGCCAGATGTGTTAACCATTTGCACCACCCAGGGACTCCATATAGATTATAAAGAAATTAGATTCCTGTTAATGAAGTCGGCTTTGTGGATTCATTGTCTGTAGCTACTCTTTTAAATATGCTATCATCAGTGGAAATCAGAATTTCAAGTGATAAGTGGTAGTTATAGCATCTGAGGATGAGCAAATATTTTTTTTTCTGGTTTATGTAATTTTACAGTCACAAAGTCAGTTTATATTTTTATAAATTAGGATTTTAAATTTCTAATGCAATTGGTACTTGTATCTCATGAGTACAATTTTCTGATAGAAGATTATTGTGAATTTTAAGCCTGTTGCTTTGGTAAGAGCTCTGATTAAATCAACTTGCTGTGCAGTTAGAATCACACCCTACTATTTTATAGTAGTCAGTGATGGAAAGGTCAATGCATTATTAGCTTTTTCCAGTTTTTTTGAGGGGAGATGCTATATAGGTAGCTTAAGATCTCTGGCTCTAGAGCTTGAGTGCAGATCCTGACTTCACCATTTACTTGGTGTGTGACCTGGGGCATGGTACTTAACCTTTCAGAGCCTTGTTTTTCATCTCTAAAATGAGGATAGGAGAGTTGTAAAGGATTATATGAAATGGTATATGGAAAGCTGTTCAGTATGTTACTTGATTCTGGTGAGCCCTCACAGTAAATATTTAACTGCTGTCGCTGGTATCCCTGTTATTCAGTGTAAGGAGAAGTGACTCATTTCCTGGAAGGGCAGACAAGTTTTTGAAAATGCTATTCTACTTTAAGTAGTGATTTAAAAAAAATAGTTCCCCGAAAGAGAAAATATTGTGAAATTAACACAGATATGTTTTAAGTGATAAGTATTCTTTCTTTAAAAAAAAAAACAGGAGAAAGAGAAGGAATTAGAAAGAGAAAGAGAACGAGACAAGAAGGATAAAGAAAAATTGGAATCTCGATCTAAAGACAAGAAGGAAAAAGATGAGTGTACTCCAACGAGGAAAGAAAGGTATACATTTCTCATATTTAATGCATATACTGTTTTCAAGATTTGGAATGTGTATTATTTTGTGATATTTTTATCATTGATGCCAACAAACTGGATTAAAGTGTTTGATTTTTGCCTGCAGGAGGCAGAATTAGCTGAGGAATGGGGTAGTTAGTTGGCGCTTGGCTTAATTAAGTGGGTCATCGTCTCTTCGTGTAGTTCAAGTGTTAAGACTTCAATTACAGTATTAGGTAACAAACTTCAGACTTAAATAACAAACAGCTTGCTCGATCTTCCTTGTTGCTTCCAGTGTAAACATTTTGTCCAGTCTCTCTATGCTGTGGCTACTACCTGTAAACTGGAATCTCTCAGTCTTGTCTTGAAAGGGGGTGTAGGTCATAGGGACTTACTCCTCACCTTAAGTATTTATTCTCACCAAAAGTTTTTCTCTTTCAGTTTTTATTTCTTACTTTCGCGGTTCCTAAATCTCTTGATTTAGTAAAGAAAATTGTTTTAGTTAACCTCCCTGAAGTTTGCTGACAAAAACCAAGCGATTGCAAATAAATTCTGACTTAGTCACTCTATAGATAGTTACAAATAACATAGTTATACTAATTGGTTAAATAATAAACCTGTCACTTTTTTGTCTTTTATTATTTTTTTTGATATAACTTAAGATTTACAGAAAAGTTGCAAGAGTAGTACAAAAAATTCCTACATACCCTTCAGCCACATTCCCCAAATGTTAAAATATTCTACTTTTGCTTTATTTTCTCCTTCCCTGTCCTTTCCCCTGCTTCATTCTCTCCGAACCGTTTGAGTAACTTGCCAACATATGTCCCTTTACCCCTAAATACTTCAATGGATATTTCCTAAAATAATAAATTCTCCTTCATAACACAATAGAAGTATCAAAACTGGGAAATTAACATTACCATATGACTATCTAATCCAGACACTTTAATGAAAGTTTGTCGATTATTCCAGTACTGTCTTTTAGAGCAAAAGAAAATCCAGTTTAGTTGAATTCAGTTGTATTTTTTAATCACCCTGTCTTTAACTTGTTCTTGGTATAAAGAGCTTGAAATGTAATTGGAAAATAACATTAATAAGGTTATTGAAAATAAAGTTAGTATAAACTCGTAGGAATTAAAAGCTGATTTAGTAGAAGAAAAGTGAATGCCTGATCCTTTGCTCACTTACACAATGTTTTGGGGGCTTTGTTCCATAGGAAAAGGCGCCACAGTACATCCCCTAGCCCATCTCGAAGTAGCAGTGGTAGACGAGTGAAGTCCCCATCACCAAAATCGGAGCGATCGGAGCGTTCAGAAAGATCTCATAAAGAGAGCTCACGGTCAAGGTCATCTCACAAAGATTCTCCTAGAGATGTTAGCAAAAAGGCCAAAAGGTAAATGCAAGTTGTTTTTGTAATATTTCAAATGTCAGTTTCCTTGTCATTCTACGAGCTTTTGAAAATAATTTGGTTGGCAGCCATTTTTTAGGGACTTAGAAAACCAAAGAGATAGACTTTCATTGTATACTATCCCTCCCTACTACACCCCCCTAGTCTCTTTCATGACTAAGCACAAGAAGGCTTCCAACCAGTAAAAAGACCTACCGAGAATGTTAAACATATCCAGTGTTTCCTATATGGAACAGGGTTAGCTGCTTTAGTTTTCTTTCTGTTCTTTAGTTTCCATAGAATATTCTTTGTTCCAAAACTGAAAGAAAAATACATTTTTTTTCCACAGCAATCTTGTTAGCAAGTTCATGGGCAGAGATTTGTGGAAGTAAATACCATAAATACCATCTCTTCAGTATGTAACATAGTATTTTATATACTTTTTTCCTTGTAGTTCCAGAAAAGCGGTTCAAAAATGTTTTATATGTCTGGTGTTAAATAGAGGAATTTTCCTGAATGCTAAAATTGCTTTATATGCTAAAACTTTGTTATTATAACTATTTTTAGTAAAGTCTTTATAAAATAGATAACTTTTTCCTTTTCTAAATGGCACTTGCTGTTGATATGTTAATATACATCCTTTTTTTTGAGGGAGTAATCTTTATGAACAGCACTTACAAAACTATGCTGTCTTAAATGATACCCTTGAATGTTATGCTTTTAACCCTTAAGATGATAGGCTGCAAAGCCACTGCATTTTTTAAAATAAATTCTGTAAATGATCTTAGATGCCAGTTTTAGACTTTATCTTGTAGATTAAAGTTCAAACTTTTGGGTGTTATCAATCCTGGGGAGCTTGTTAAAAATGCAAATCCCAGTTCCTCCCTCTAGAAATTATAATTTGGTAGATCAGTGGTAAGGCTTAGAAATCTGTCTTTTTAAACAAGTGCTCTACTAATCACTGATGCAGTGCATAGTAAGTACAAAATAAATCTCTGTGTGTGTGCGTGCACGTGTGTATGTATGTCCAGTGGGCAAAGTGTAACTTTGAGAAGTTTACAATCCTGTTTGTTTCAGGGACTTACTGTGCTCTGTTAAGGATCGTTTTAGATAGTTGAAGACTAATCAGTTTGGGCCATACGAGTACTTTGATAAAAATTGTTTTTGTTTGTTTGCTTTTTCAGATCACCATCTGGTTCAAGGACACCTAAAAGGTCTAGGAGATCACGATCTAGATCCCCTAAAAAATCAGGGAAGAAATCCAGATCCCAGTCCCGATCTCCACACAGGTCTCATAAAAAGTCAAAGAAAAACAAACACTGACATAGCGTTCACAATTTTTAAGATGCTGTCACTTATTGGAAATGCGATTTTGTTTTGTGCCTGAACAGTCTGTTTTTAAAAAAAAAAAAACAAAAAACAAAAAACAAATGAAAGAGCATTCCTGGGGTTTTTTTGTTTGTTTGTTTGTGAATGCATGTGTAAACTCATGAGTAACTGCATCTGTAGAATTGTCATTGTTTTATATTGTACAAATTACTTCAGTTGTGGCCGTTTCTCATATAATTTTTACTGTGTTAATGAATTTCATCAGAAATGTGTATAATGGATCTGCTGGCAGTAGTAGTATTTTGTTTTAGGATATTGTGACTTAGCAAAAATAATACAGATGTCTACCCCCCCCCCTTTTGTAGCTTTGAAAATTGGAATTAGATTTCAAATAAAATCTGAACAGAAAACTATAATGTTGTTTTTTTGCCCCACTGGTGACAGCAAGTCCCTTAAAGTTCTAAGTGAGTTTGGCACTACTGTTGTGTTTCTTTTACATAATGCACTTTACAAGCTCCAGTGTTCAAGTAGCTAAACTTCTGTATTTACTAAGATGGCTATCAAAATGAAAGAACCTGAGATTCCTGTTTGGAAGGTTTGCCAACCAATGTCTTCATTAAGGTTCTCTTCCTTGGATAATACCAGTACCCAGAGATAAAAGATAGGTGGATATGGCATGGTGCTTTGTTAATGGAATGCCTAGCTAAACCTTTTTTTTTACAAATTAGAAGCAATATGATTTCAGTACACCCAGCCCATATTCTGAGCAGCTACTTATTTTTAGGGAAAAATTAAATTGCTATCTTTTGATTTTATCTTCTATCATAAAAGACATTTATTTATAAAAGAAATTTTCCAACAAGATTTGGCCACAGTATAAAAGAATTTTCCAACAAGATTTGGCCGTTTTATTTTTTGTATGATAGTTGCCTCTTTATAGACCTCTTAAGCAGTCTTCAAACCCTGGTGTCAGAATATTTCTACAAGTTTCTGTTTAAAACACCTTAGTGTTTTAAAAGGATGTGGTTTTAGGTATAATTTTAAGTAAAATTTAAAAAAGTAAAGTGGTTTTTAGGAAATGGAGTATCCGTTACAAGGTGCAGAAATTGCAAGGTGCAATTCAAGATGCAAAAAGTTGATTTCAACTATTTGCATGGTTGAAATCTGTTATACAGCAGGAATAAAATTACTGTGGTATGAGAAATAAAATTTGTGTAATGGTTAAATTTTCCTATAAGTATAATGTAATAAAGGGTTCTGTAGACTTGAACTGATGCTACTGTTTGTGAATTTTGCTATTTTTCATGTAGACACTTAATTGTACAGTGGTTTGATTTTTTTAAATTTTTTTCCTAATAGAGAGTGTAGGAAACTATTTTGATAATAGATTGTTTTGATTTAGGTTGATTTTTTAAAAATTTTGTCTAGTCACAAAATAAATACTGTACCCACAATTTAGGGAGTAGCTCTGTTAGCTGAGCACTACTGTGTTAACTGAGCATGCTTCTTCCAAACCGGGCAAATCTACAACAGCTTTGGAAATCAGCCAGTCAGATTATTTTGCTTAATGGTTCTTATCAGCATGCAATATTGCTTGAATACTTATTCCCTTATCATTCGTCCATTTTGTTAGGAAATGTTAATTCCTAAAAGTTGCTCAGAATAATTAAACGTGAACATTTGGTGCTGATTTTTAAAAACCTATAAATATAGCCATTTATAAAGCAACATGTTTTTCTCCCCCGTTCATTGCCTGGGAGAGTGTAATTTTATATAATCTTCCTTTTCTTGCAAAAAGTAGCAGTAGTGTTGAGTTGCTGTTGATTTTGGCATTCCATCATTCACCGTTGTCTAGTGTAGGCTTAGAATAATTGGTCAGGTAATGGTTTTGCCATTCAAATTTCAAGGAATGCTTATTTCTCTCCCTTCTTAAAAAATATCCTAGAGAAGCAGCAGAAAATCTTAAGTCAGTTTTGGGTGCTTATTTGTAATGTGTTTCTTACTGCAATGGAATTTAGCACTTGTCTTTATCTGGCTCCAGACACAACTATTACAGTTTATTTTACAGTGAGTGAGGCTGGCTTCCATTTGTGGTGGGAGGATTGCTTACGCCTGATAGAAATGTATTTTCTGTGCAGTCTATTAATGTATGTATTAGATTATATTGAATTTTTTTCTTGAATTGCAAATGGTAGATAGGTTATTTCCAATTTATCTTTAAGAGAAAATATTTAGAGTGTTTATTTCCTCCTGGATTCACTGAAAGTTTAATGGGATCAGAAACTGGTAAATTGTGAAGGGGGGAGATAGTCTACCATATTTTTATAATAGCATATTATTCAACTGTTTCCCATGTAAAGAACACTCTTAAGTTACGTAGTAAAATTCTAGAGGTTGACTAAAATGTTCATAGGCATGACTTGTAGTTAACAGGAAGTACCCTGCTCCAGCTCTGTAATAGACAGTTATTGTTCTCTACCACAGCTACATGGAAGAGGAAATCCCTTGCCCACTCCTCTTATAGAGGAGTGTCAGGCTCTCTCCTCTCTAACCTAATGTTTATACACAGGGGTTCCTTACCAGATTAATGCCATTCTTAACGCCTCTCCCTTCTACAGGTGGGAGAAAGAAAATAAATGGTAGTCTAATTCTTACCTGAGAGAGTCCTATAATTGAAGAGGATCATGTTTGTGAATCTTTTCGTTGGCATTGTATTTCTTTGTTACTGCTAGTAAGTGAATGGGGATTTCTGATCTGCAGTATGTTGAGATGTTAGAGATAAAGAACTAAAAAACAAAACTCTGTGACCCAAAAGAATGCTTTTATTTGGCTCAGAATGTTCTAGGCTTTTCTGCTAAAGTTTGCAGACAGTACTGTACGCTGACCTAATTTTTTTTTCATTGCAGACCATTCCCATGGGCTTACCCTGAGACTTTTAACCCAATTAAAAAAAAAAAAAACTCACCAGGGAGGAAATACTTGCTTATGACTTGTGTTTTTTTCCCCCAAATTTTAAGATTCTTGAGCACTAGAAAATATTTGTAAGAAATTCCAATCATGATCAAGTTTAGGTTTCTTAAAAATATTCTCTACATGTTTGCCTTCATGGTGGTGTACGTTCTGAAAAATTAGATATCCATGATGGTCGTTTATCATTATTGTTATTAAAAATAAGAGCAGAACTCTGTATTGCCAAAGTGACTTAGCCTGTTCTGATGACCACACAGTGTGGTTTCTTTAGCAGAGAAAGTTGCTTTTAAAAATAAATAGTACGACTTCCCTAAGACTGTCCCATTAAGACATTTAAGAAAGAAGAGCTTTTTGTGGTTGTTTTTTGTTTGTTCTCCTCTTCTAGTACATTTAATGTAAAAGCTAATTACAGAGAATTCACAGCAGATACTAGTGAAGATACTAGTTTTAAGTATAAAGGAACATGTGATTATTTGTACAAACTCAGATTTACAAAGTGTTCTCTTCATATTTCACGTGCATGTTTTGGAATAGATTTTGGGGGTGTTTACTTCATTATACTTTTTTTATTTATTTTTGTTTTCAATTCCCACGGCTTAGATTTCACACAAATACAAATCCCAGGGGAAGTGTTGTGATGATAGACTGAAAGGTGGGAATGTGCTGCTGTTCAGAGTGAGCCATGTTCTGTCGGTGAAAATCCAGTGCCTCAGTGTTTATTCAGTACCACCTCATGGAGCTTCATTGTAAATGGTTATATGTATAATCGGTTATTTATATAGTTTTGTGGATCTATAGATAAAATGCCCTAATTCATTTCCACATGTAATTGTGCTTGGAGTATTTGTGTTTTATCCTTCTACTTCAGCAGACTCTTGTACATTATATCTCTGATGATTTGAAATAATCAGGAAAGACAATTTTTCGGAAACGAGAATAATATAGTTGAAATCAGCTCAGCTGAAATATTCTACAGCAAGACAATTTCAGGTGAACTGATTCCATAATTTAGTTACTTTTCGATGTAAGGCTTAAGTTTATTGTGAGCTGCTTTCCAGATCAGACTGTCACTTTATAGTTTTTCTACATAAAGATTATATAGTTGCAAACAAAGGTTGTGGAATTTCCCTTTTGTTGTTGTTTTTTGACTCTTAATTACTTTAATAAAAATACATTGTTTTCATAGCAAACTTAAGACTGTTCATGTAATTTTCTCCATATAGTAGCTTTTCTAATGCAAGCCAAGTAAACCATGTTTGGTGTTCAGGAGCTTTCTCCCAAGTGAGCTAACTGATAAACCACATTTATCCATTGTAGCTGAAATGTTACTGCATTTTTCATGGTGTAGATGTTTAGCCTACAGTGAGATATGTTCATGGTACATCATTCTCTTGATTAGGAAATTTCATTTCCTCATTAATTCCCCCCCTTTTAAGAGTTATTTTGTTCTTTTTTATTGAGAAAAATTTCAAACATACAAAAGTAGAATAGTCAAACATCCATATATCCATCAACCTGCTTTAGCAAATATAAATTCATTAGTATGTATTTCTGAAAGTTTTGGTTTTAAAACAACCATAATACCATTATCACATTAAAAAATAATTCATTGGTTCCTTTTTAAAGCCCACTTTTTCTTTGAAGTGTCTATATTTCCCTGTAGAATTTGAAAAAGATTTTCTCAAATGGTATGTTAGCATTTCTATTTTAAGTAAAACTTCAAAAGCGAGCATAAAGTAATACCAGGTGTATCTGCTGTCTACCCCACCATCTCCTTAAAATCTTTGCCATTTTTACCACTTACCGTGTGTGTATTCTCTTTAACAGTTATGTATGATGTAATTTCACACGAACACTTCATAGCATGGGGTACAAATAAGCTCAGCGCAAGCTATGAGATGTTGCAATTGGTAGCATTAATATTTTAATGACCATACTCATTTTTTTTCAGTCTTATTTATTCCTGACACAAAACTAAAATTTTTGGCATATGATAGACTCAGTGTTTGGATTAGTTACTTTGCCACAATAAAAAGGGGTAAAAAAAAGTTTGTTCTTATTTTTGAAGTTTTTTCCCCTATTCTTAGAAAACAGAGCATCAAACCATTTTAGAATACAGAACTTTTTAAAAATGAGATGTAGTGTGGCATAGTGGTTGAGGAAGCGGACAAGCAGGGGCTTTGGAGTTACATTTGGATTTGAACTCCAGCCCCTCTCGTAGCTGTATGGCATTTCAGTCTTATTTTCTCTCCTATAAAATGGGGTTAACATTGCCTTGTATACTTACTGTAAGGATGGAGTCACATGTAAATCACCAACACATGGTTGTCATGCCAAACCGAAACAAAACCCGTTGCTGTCGAGTCAATTCTGACTCACAGCAATCCTACAGGACAGAGTAGAAAATGCCCCACAGGGTTTCCAAGGAGCTGGTGGTGGATTTGAACTGCCGACCTTTTGGTTAGCAGCCATAACTCTTAACCACTGTACCTCCAGGGCTCCAGTTGTCATACATGTACCAAACCAAACGCGTTGCTGTCTAGTTGATTCCAACTCATAGCGACCCTATAGGACAGAGTAGAACTTCACCGTAGGGTTTCCCAGGAGCACCTGGTAGATTTGAACTGCCAGCCTTTTGGTTCGCAGCTGGACTCTTAGCCACTAAACCACCAGGGTTGGTACCTAAAATGAAACATTGATTCAACATTCCTGAAAACAGATGATGTGAACATATTACAACTAGAACAACAGAGTAAGACCACTATTCCATAGCACCAGGGCCTTCAAAGGATTCTAATACGTACTCAATTTGTATTGGTTTAACAGATGGTTATAAACTTATATTTGGAGATATATTAGCACATTTATTGCACAATTAATACAGCTTTATAATCTGCTTTCCCAGTCTTACAGATGACAATTCTTAATCTTTGAGGAATAACATTTTTATTAAGTAGATTTTTAAAAACAGTTTTCGTTGGTTGTCATTTTTTAGCAGATTTCACTAACCAAAATTTCTGAAAGGAAGCTCCTAAAGGAAAATCTAAATGTAAAACAGCTGCAGTAGGGTATATGTGGAAAGAGACTGGAGAATAGTATGAAATACGATGAAGCACTGGATTCTTTGTCCAAGGTCAAAGTTAAAAAAAATCTTGTCCAAATTACCTGCGCTGAGCAGCAAGATGCAATTTTCACAAAATGAGTGGACTGAGAACTGTCCTGAGAGAAGATGACTGAAAACCGGGTTAGTAATTTGAGAGTAATTGAACTCTTGTGTTTTGTGTGTATTTGCAAGTTATTGTTTGTATTTTCAGATTATGCAGAAGTAGGAAATGTCCCCTAAAACTACGGTAATTTCCTTCAGTGGAGAGAGCTGAAACTACATAGAATTTGAAAAGGAAATTACACTTTAAATTCTACTCAGAAATAACGGCTTTGTAGTAATGTCCTCAGGACATTTGTAAAGCTCTTTGGCATTCTCACAGCTGTGCAAACATGAATCTGGAAGAGCAAAACTTTGATTAAAAATGCTATTTGGCCCTTCATGTAGCCGAAACGTTAAAATCGAAAAGAATAAGCACCTCACTATAGATTGGCTACCTTAGCAGCTAAATATTCCTGTTGCATGGTGTGGTATTAGATGGTTTTTCTTGTTTCAGCACGTTTTGTCTTACTGCACTGTGCAGTAGCTATTGGGTGTGAGCAGTTATTAAGAGCATTTAGGAAAATGCTTTTCAGATGGTGTCTTAGTCACCTAGTGCTGCTATAACAGAAATACCACAAGTGGATGGCTTTAACAAAGAAGTTTATTCTCTCACAGTCCAGTAGGCCTGCAAGTCCAAATTCAGGACATCAGCTCCAGGAGAAGGCTTTCTCTCTCTGTCGGCTCTGGAGGAAGGTCTTTGTGATGCATCAGTCTTGCCTTGTTCTAGGAGCATCTCGGCGCAGGAACCTCAGGTCCAAAGGACGTGCTCTGCTCCCCAGCACTGGTTTCTTGATGGTATGAGGTTCCCATGTGTCTCTGCTCGCTTCTCTCTTTTTTATCTCAAAAGAGATTGGCTTAAGACACTACCCAGTCTTCTATACCTCATCAGTATAACTGCTGCTAATCCAGCTTATTGGATCATAGTGATTGAATTTACAACACATAAGGAAATCACATCAGGTTACAAAATGGTACACAATTATACAATACTGGGAATCATGACCCAGCCATGTTGACAGATATTTTTGGGGGGATGCAGTTCAATCCATGACAGATGGCTTTTGGCCATTCTAGGATCTATCAAGTCCTTCACTTATTTCTGGGAAAGTAAACAGTTCAAGCCTAATATAGGTCTCCCTCACATGGTGTATGTGGCAAGGTATCAAAAACCAAAGGATGCTCTAAGTACATATTTTATCTTTATATACTCCAATTGCCATAACATTTAGCTAAGGTAAATTTAAATGCTGTAAATTTCAATATCACATATTATGTGTAGCTTAACATATTTCATAGGATAAAAAAAAAAAACCCAAACCAAACCTGCCGATGTTAGTTGATTCTGACTCATAGCAACCCTGTAGGACAGAGTAGAACCGCCCTATTGTGTTTCCAAGGAGCAGCTGCTGGATTTGAACTGCTAGTCTTTTTGTTAGCAGCTGAGCTCTTAACCACTGTGCCACCAGGGTTCCATTTCATAGGGTACTTATCCTGAACTCCCCCGGTGGCAGAGTGGTTAAGTGCTACAGTTGCTAACTGTCGGCAGTTTGAATCCACCAGGTGCTTCTTGGAAACTATGGGGCAGTTCTACTCTGTCTTACAGGGTCGCTATGAGTTGAAATCGACTTGATGGCAATGGGCTTGACCCCCTAATATATCCTATCTTATTTAGGAACATATTTTTTCTTGAAAAATCTGCTGCTTGTCCAACTCTGCCACATACTAGATAATGTGTTAAGTGCCACAAAGCAGAAATAACATTCATCAAATATTTCTTAGGAGACATCTACAT